TACTAGTTGCAAGCTGATATATGTGTGTGTGTGTGTGTGTGTGTGTGTGTGTGCGAGTTGATGTGAATCAGAAGTGTCTGGCTTGGTGTTTTTCATCTTCCATGACAAAGGTTTCTGCACTTGACAGTGAAGACTTTAATTGGTTGACAGCTGCAACTATAAACTAATGGAAGTGATTTGGTTTCAGTAGTTGTTCTGAGAGGGTCATACAGGTACTTCTTATACCAGGTGAACTTAGCCACCGTTAGAAAACAGTTTCGTGGGTAAACTAACAGTGCAGTGTGGCTGTGTTTGATTTCCCCTGAACCAGCTGTGACTATAGCTGAATGAACTTCGTTAGTTCTATAAACTTCCAAAATGTTGACACTTTCGTATCCGAAAACCAAGTTGCAACGATAAAGCATTGTCTGCAGTGGACACCTGAAGTTAACATGAAGAGAAAACAATAGACGGAATTATCAACAGGACACAAATAATCTGCATCTTTCTCTTTACCTTCTTTTACAGTAGACAAAGCATTAAGGTCTACTGTGTTCGAAAATTGTTGCTGTGATTGTTATTCGACATATGCTTTGTTAATATAAATTTATGTAACCTATGGTGCCATTTCAATGGTTTGAAATGAATTCTGTCCATATTCCATAGTTGTGGATTTCAAGCTGTACGATAGACATGGCCAATAAGACACCTTTTAATGGGCGTGCCTAGTTGACAATTTTCTTGGCGCACTTGTATCCATGGCGAGGCGCAGACGCCGTCTGGGGGTGACAGGTTCAATTTCCAGCACGGTAACTATAGCTTTCAATTTTTATGTTGTCAAGTGTGTTCTTCTATCTTTCTACTTCTTTCTATGAGTCCCAATCAATACACTTTCTGTTTCTTGATTAATTGCCAGTGCCAAGGAAGATGCAGAGTTCTGGTTCTTACTCTTGTGGTTTTCTCTACCGTAAACACAGATTACTACTGTAGAGTTTCCCTGATGTTCTCTTTCCATATTGTTCTTGATCTTCTCTACGGTAAACACAGATTACTTCTGTAGAGTTTCCCTGATGTTCTCTTTCCATATTGTTCTTGATCTTCTCTACGGTAAACACAGATTACTTCTGTAGAGTTTCCCTGATGTTCTCTTTCCATATTGTTCTTGATCTCAGTCAGCTTCGGTGGCTTAGGGGTTACGAATTTAGTTTGTCATTCTTATATACACGGTAAGTTTCAGCTGCAGGCGAGTTGACAGCAGACCGCTTTGTTTTTGTCTTGACAGCGGCACAGCGTCAACTGTTTAGCAAATAAGTAAACCTTACCGAAACCACAAAAAATTCAACAAACGTCGAAGCGTTTGTGGCATCATGTAAAGCGTACGCAGTTAACGTTATGTTCCTCTCGGTCTTGATCTGTGCAAGTGAATCATGGACAACCGTCAGGCTAGTGAGCAACTATGCTACATCTGCAGAGATGTAGTTTTAAAGAAGGACAATGAAAACACCATCAACAGATGAAAAAGCACAATGAAAAAAATATATATCAACTCACATTGAGAACGTATTATCCTGACAGACAATCTGTGGTTTTAGGACCCGTTAGATTGCTGTGAGGGGAGTTGGGGTGAGGCAAGGGCGGGGCAGTGGGGCGGGGGAGTGGGAGAGCAGAGGGGTGGCGCGGAGGAGTGGGGTGGGGCGATGGAGTGGGGCGGGGAAGTGGGAGGGGAGTGGGGCGGAGGAGTGTGAGGAGAGTGGGGGTAGGGGGTTATGTTTCAACAACCGGAACGATGTAGGCATACCGGGAAGAGCTAACAAGAGCAGACATTTTGGTAGCACTGAAAGAAAATTGCCAGCAGAAATGACAATGGCAATACACAAGACATAAGGGTGTAGATGGCAATGATGACCAACGCCGCATCACGTAGACTGTAAGAAAATACAAAATAATGTTACCGATCTGAAAGTGAAGTCAAGGATTCTCTTACACGCCTTGGGCTGTATTGGGTATATGGGGCTAAACCCATATTTTATCAAAAAACGACACATGGCGGGGGGATATGGTCACGCCGGCCGCCTCTACTTCCCAGGAATATACATGGTACCCTCTCAAGGCTGGGTCGACCTGGGAGCCAAGGTCATTTCTGAAAAAGTCGGGCCCTGCCAGGACTCGAACCCACGAACTTTTGATTCGCAGGCGAAGGGTCAAGCCACGACACCACGACGGCTCTAACAGTGACTGAGTGGGTACTTGAAAATAAACAGACTCGACATATAGACTTCCAGATAGAGGTATCGACAATTGTTATATAAACTAGGATTTTTTTTCTAGATATAGTTTTGAAAAGTTTACACCTAAAAACCCCTACCGAAGCGGTTGTTATAACTGAGCTTGGCTACAAAGTCAACCTAAACTAAGTGATTTTGTGTCCTCGTGTGGTTTTTTTTTAATTTGATTTGTGAATGTGCTGTTGAAGGCTCTACAGCCGCAATTTTCATGTTTTATTTGTGTTTATTATAACGTGACGCTCACTGATCTACTTTTCTTCGGTTTTAAATCTTTCTAAGTCAACCCAGCCAACTCTGGGTACTAGGAGATGTCCTGGGAAATAAAGTGGGTGGTGCTGATCAAAGCACCCATCGCGTAGTCACTCATCTCTAAAAAGGTGTAAAACGATGATTTAAAATGCGTGGACGCGTGGGGAACTGTATTTAAAGCTGATTTATCGACTACTATCGGAAGTGAGTTCGTTAAGGAATCTGTACTATGAAAGGTGAATTTGAATCTGGTAGTCTAAGTTTCAGCTTCATAGCAAACGGGTCACCCCATAGTTGCTCCGCTCCTGTGCCAACTAAAAACACACAGAATGTTTATCACAGTTCCTTGTGGAAAGATTGACAGGCTGCTGTCTCAGCAAATGCACTAGCATACACACGCATTAAAAGCATACGGTAGCCATCTGAAGTGCTAACACAAACAGTCCGACATTAGAAAGGCAGTTCATCATGGATGGTAGCAGAAGTCACCAATTATGAATTTGAATAGTCTGACTTGTGTAACAGTACGAATGAAGAACCCGGTATAGATGTTATACTGGCAAACGTGTTTTCATCTCCTCATAACTGACATTCACAACGCGCATTCTTGACAGTAACCCGAGAAGAGAACGTCAAGCCAAAAAACTACGGCACATTAAGCTTAGTTATAGTTCATAGGGAACCGCGAGAAAACGATACCTGTGTCTCTGTCTGTTTGGAAAACATAAATCTGTCTTCTTGTATTTATTCAGTAGTCGTGCTTGACAAAATCGATGCAGTGGTCTAGGGATTGTAGTGACTTGAAGACTGAAACTGTGTAGTATCTATTCACAATTCTCTCTTAATAATGTTCACCAAAATGTAGAGACACTGCGAATTCTTTAAGTGGCAGCATAGTTCTCATGCAGGTTTCAATAATGTAGTTCTCTTTGAAATATAGTTAAAACGACTAGATATTTCTACATCAAACTGTGATACGTAATACTGTACACAATAAATGCGTAAAAACACTAAACAACATAATAATCGCAGACATGAAGTGGATGTTACGAGAAGCACAGTAATTTATTTCAGAAGTCAGTGTCAGATCCAGAAAACGTTTTTGCAGACATGTATCATCTTTCCTATGTTTTTTTCCCCCAAAAAAATATACAGACTAGCCAGCTTGAACTTACTGTTTTTTTTTTTTTTTGTTCACATTTCACACGCTTGACAGCATGTGTCTATGTACCAGAGGTGACTAACGTCAGTATCCACACAACTGTAGGAGTATCTCTCATGCAGATTATAACGTCTCATTATCCTTCATCCTAGCAATAATTTAAAGTACCGAGTATAGTAATGTTAAGTCACTGTCGGACAAAACTCAACACAGTAACTCCAATCGCAACAACATTTGTTTACCACCAGTGTTCTTCAACCTTTTCACACCAGCCGACAGGCAAAATCTGCACATTTTTGGTGCACAGACTAATGGCTAAGTGTAGACCAGTGGTTCTCCACCTATGGGTGGCGATCCTTTCACACTGGTCGCCAAAGACAATCACAAAACAAATATTCGTTATGAAGTAACGCCGTAAATATTTGTATGGTTGGGGGTTGTCACAACACGGAGAACTGTATTAAAGGGTCTCCACAACGTGAGGAACTGTAGGAAAAAAAAGAAACTCCACAGGGGAGCATGTACAGCAGGAGTCTACCAATCATCAGCACAGGGGAGCATGTACAGCAGGAGTCTACCATGTCAGCACAGCATGTACAGCAGGAGTCTACCAATCATCAGCACAGGGGAGAAGTACAGCAGGAGTCTACCAATCATCAGCACAGGGGAGCATGTACAGCAGGAGTCTACCAATCATCAGCACAGGGGAGCATGTACAGCAGGAGTCTACCAATCATCAGCACAAGGGAGCATGTACAGCAGGAGTCTACCAATCATCAGCACAGGGGAGCATGTACAGCAGGAGTCTACCAATCATCAGCACAGGGGAGCATGTACAGCAGGAGTCTACCAATCATCAGCACAGGGGAGCATGTACAGCAGGAGTCTACCAATCATCAGCACAGTGGAGCATGTACAGCAGGAGTCTACCAATCAGCAGTAGAAGTGATCCCTCGTCCACAACTGTTTCGGCCCCCGAGCTCCTAGACAATCTCAGACTGTGAGCCGACCTGAGTTCATGAAGCTCAGGCTCTATCTGCTGCTGCTTCACGTATTACCAGATGTTCTCGGAGAGGGACAAGACGAAAATGAGAGCTATGCAACAGGTACTGTGAGATTCGAAGGGTCGCCCTAACATCAGAAAAGGGTGGCGGCATTAGAAAGGTTAAGAACCACTGGTCTGGATCATTTGTTTAAAAACAATGTTCAGTCTCTAGAAAAGAGTCTTTGTTCAGTGAGCGCCTGCTGTATGTGGGGATATCTCGTGGTGAGGTAATAAGCACTTCTACGGTTTAACTTTTGCGGCACTGTCTATCTACTACAAG